ATCAAAAGGGCTGAATATGTATATAAGTCATTTGAGGTATCTCGTTTTTTTTTGGTTTTTTGTTTTTGAAGTCATTCTTTCAGTTATTATTGAGTTGAATAAATCATTATAAATGTAAGAGGGAGAAATTTGGGAGTAGGTGTATTTTTCTTATTTGAATATTTATTGTGTAATCATATGATCAATTTGGAATTGTGAATGATTGTTGTTTAAATGAGTGACAATAAGGATCATTGTGGAATAATTAATTGAATGGAATTCATCACTCTACATCAACTTCATTGACTATGAGAAAGCATTTGATTGTGTGGATAGGACAACATTATGGAGGCTTATTCGACACTACTGTCGGCCTAAGAAGATAGTTAATGTCATACGGCATCTCCATGATAAATTAAACTACAAAATCGTGTATGGAGGACAGTTGACAGACTCGTTCTCGGTAAAGACCGGTGTCACAGAAGGTTGCATACTCTCATCCTTTCTCTTTCTCCTGGTGATCGACTGAATTATGAAGACATCAACATCTGGAGGGATGTAGCTGGATTCGAATCCAGGACCTATCAGTATCGCGCATGAGAGCTTTACCACTCGTAAGGCGGGATCGTGGATGCGCACTGATGAAGAGTCCCACAATAGGATGAAACGGCTGTCCAGTGTTTCCAGGTTTTCCATGATCATCTAGCTTCAATTGACTCATGATATCAACCATTGAAATTACTATAATATCCACAAAACCCTTTTGATTTAATTTGGATTAGTTTTGTTTAATTTCATCCAGTAAACGAGACCCGTTTTCTAGATTCCGTCAATAATACACTTCGCATACACATATCAAAATTGTTGAATACAGTCTAAATCGAGGTCATTCGCTTAAGTTAAACGTCTACCTTCTAAAATTACATCCTTAATTTTAACAGTTGCATCAATTTAACGAAATTATAAATTCACCAGGTAATATGTTATTGCATAAACACTACCTTTCGCCTTTATGTTTTCATATTCTCTCTTTTATATAATAAACTATAATCAACTAGTTGATTCCTATTTATTTCTATCCTACATTCACCTTATTATATTATGCATATATAAATGAGTCTGATTTAAAAAGAGAGAAAGAGTAAGAGTAAGTGAGTAAGTGAGTGAGTGAGTAAGTGAGTGAATGAGATCAAAAACTTGCCTATTTTGTTAATATGATTACCATTATCATCAATATAATTATAAATAATTTGGCAACTGAATCAAAGTAATCATAATATATATAGAGATAGATAGATAAATACAATATTACTGTTGTTTAATCCATTGCCTCCACTCTCAGTAAATCACTTCTATATGATATGAAATAGAGAGAGGGGTGATTATGTTTCTGTTTTTTTTTTGTTTTGTTTTGTTCATAATGATCTATGTACTACTACATCTTTTTTTGTTGTTGCTACATGTACAAATAAACACACCTAATAGATGTATTTATCTGTGATCAAATCTACCGTGCTTATTTGATTTCAATTCAAGTCCAATTAGTTACTAGGTTGTTTTTTTTGTGTTTTTTTAAACGTTCCCATATTATTACTCGTATTACATATCATGTATAGTTACAAGGTAAATTATACTTTTATATATTTGATAAAAGGGGGATATTGATGTCAATGTTAATTGAGCATAATGATCATATTGTTTTACAATACAATGATTGATATAAACAATTAATATGGGTATGTAATCAGTTAAGGTAAATACTTACTTGTTAAAACAATGTACATTGATATATTGAATAATATAAAGTTACAAATGATTAAAAGGAATCCCCGAAAGATCGACTAAACATTCAGTTAACTATAGTTGTAATATAATACTGATATCCATAAGTAAGCATATCATAATAGTATCTAATGGATATATATGAACTATGCATTGTATAATTAACATTAATAATAAACTTGTCGTATCACCGGTTTTATTGTTTGAAACATATTTAGAAGCTGTTACATGTTAGAACTTTCGATTGTTTTTTTCACGCTATTCCCAATGATATTAATAGCATGATTGTTTTTTTGATTGGTAACAAAATGACATCACACGTATCAACATACATAGGCCATATGTTAATTATAATTTGTCAAATGTTGATATTAGTGAATGTGTTACATTATATATATTCCAAGTTATTAGTATAAAGACAGTGTAATGCCGTGTTTTGTTAATTGTTCACCTCGATAACCGTTATAATACAAATCTGAACGGTGCATAAAAATCAGAAGGCAAAGAGAAGCAGCAACTACAGTTTTATTGACAAATAACTGAGGTCAGAAAGTTATAAGCACATCAGTAAATATCAGCGAGCGAAGCATAAATGACATGCATTGGAGATGGCGAGTAAGCCAACTCGCTTTAGTCAAGCGTTAATCAAGAATAAATGACAGACGTGTTATGAATAGGATAAGAAGTGTACACACACATATGCTCATATGAAAAAATAGTTGGGGTTAATAAGTAAATAATTATTAAGGTCATGATAGGTAGGTAAATTTGCTTGTTCAGAAGTTAGAATAAAGTATATGGGCTTCACATATCAACCGACAATACAACAGATAGTTTTCATATGTCAATCAATCTGAAAAGTGATACTTGATTATCTCAACAACTAAACGTCACCATAGTATAGATATTCGATTATCGTTGTACTATGTTTTAAAATGCCGTTTACTAATTTAGACGAATCATTTTAGTCTATTAATTTGATTTGTTTGAATTCTAATGTTCTCATAGAGTTTTAACATACATTTGTAATCTTTCATCTGACTCCAGGTAGATCGTTTGCTGTTTGTTATCATGAGATATACATGTTGCCAATCCTCGTATAAAATTATTGACTTAACTCGCGTTAGTGAATAACTGAATTAAATAAATCAAATAAGAGAATGGATTCGTGATTACGTACATTTCTTATAAACGTTGATCAGAATAGACAATCAAACAGACTGTGAGAATGAAGCAGAGCAGACTAAAGAAGTCATGTTAGCCGATTCGTCTTAATCAAGTGTAACTCCATATTTATAGTCGAAGAAAAATAAGTTACACACATATGATGAGTAAGATAAGAAATGTACACACATACATTTACATCCAAACAGTAAAGGTTGATGACCAAATAACTGACACAGTAAACATGTGATTTGAGAAAAATGAATAGATTGATCTGTTCAGAGGCTAGAACTACCTATATGGGCTTGACATAGTACTAGTCCATACAATACTCAATTAAAAGAAAACAGTTCACTAAAAATAAATTTTATGTCAAGCCAAGCATATATGAATTTTTCTTTTTATGCATAGAAATTACCTCAAGATGATCTAGTGAGAATTCATGACTGAAAATATTCGGATAATTTCCTAACGGCATTAGATAACCGTCACACTATATTTCAAATTGACTGAAGTTGAAATTATACCAGAGGAAGCCAAATGAATGGTTCCAATCATTCAGAGCTCTCCAGAAGAAGACCTGAATGCCTTAAATTCGTTATGTGTTAGTTTTATTTCCTAAGACGAATCGGATGTTTCCTAGTTTTCAATGATATCTCGTGTATTATCAATCTGTGACGAATATAACCTACAAATCAAATTAATCTTCGAAAACATTTTTATTAATAACAATATATGCACTTCTTACATACTTCACTAAACCAGATACTTGAATGAGGAAAGTAAGAGTGAGTAGGAAACAACAGAGTCGATAGTATATATACAACTGATTCATAAATATATATCTTTTCCTTTCAGAAAATAAAGTTACATTTTCAACCAATAGCGTATTTCTTTTTCTTAAGAAAATGAAGCCTAATTTTGAGTAATAACTTGCTCTCATCAGGATCTGTCACTTATTATTTGGCTTATGTCTGAATGTACTAGCGTGTCACTGTTCGAATTCGATTATCAACACTAAAGCCTAGACGAATGATCTTAGTTAATGCTCATTGATTGACCACTCCTATATATTCAATCTTCTGAGAGGTTGATCACGTTCTCAATATCTGATTGGTAAAGTCTTTGACTATAACACTGAGTGATTCTAGCTCGGATCTTACAGAGAGATCAGTTTCCTGAAGACCGCAAGTATGCCTTGCTGTTTAAGTATGCCAACTAACAAAGGCCTTGCATAAAACAGGGCTTTCTACCGATCGTCCAGAGCTTTATGTTTATTACATCCAACCATATAACATTTATCCTATCTTTATCTTTTAATTTATGATTACTCGACAATATCACGTTTGACCCAATTCCATCATTTGGATTGATTTTTTCAAGGACAGTATGGTCTTATAGTTCTGTCATCATTTCTTTATGATCCATTGATAATAGCAGAGAACAAACTTTTTAATTATATGAATGAATCTGTTTGATAAGCTAACGGAAGTTGGTTCCGTAACTGATTAAATGATTGTGTAGTCTTCAAATTTAGGATTTAGTTGTAGAGTGAGAGACAATGATGTGAATAAGTAGTTCTGGAAAGTTAAAGATTTGATAAGACAATCTTCCTAATATTAGTAGTTTTCACTGCTAAAAGATTGATGTCAACAGCTTACAAACGCGACAAGAATATCTTAGATCCCTTTGAATTCCAGTTATTACGGCGGATAGGTTTGCTTCAGTGAGTTAGAAATCAATTTCCAGATGCAGTCAATCAACTACGCATTAGCTACCATGTATAGTTAACTAATGAAAGTTTTTTTGAGACGTCTCACTTTAGTGTTAAGTGGTTATCCTATGTACCCTGTTTATTAATCATCTCCCAATTGATATTATCTCTCTTCAACTTGAATAAAAGTCCCTTCAAACCACATATCTGAAGCTTTCAGATAACTTTACAACTTTCAGTGATGATTGTTTAACTCTTCATACACATTATCTTCACGGTGACGATAATAATAAAAAGAATCTTCTTAATACTACGCTTCTCAATTGTTGATTTTTTTTGTTTATTTTACAAATCTTTCTAGATCTGTGATTTTGGTTTAGCTCGTATAGCTGATCCAGAATCAGAACAATCGGGTACATTAACAGAATATGTAGCTACACGTTGGTATCGTGCACCAGAAATAATGCTTACATCAAAATTATATACTAAAGCAATTGATATTTGGTCAATTGGTTGCATTATGGCTGAAATGCTTAGTAATCGTGTTTTATTCCCTGGAAAACATTGTATCCTTTAATTTTGTTTTATTATATATCTATAAAATAACATGTATTTCTTTATTCTGTGTCAGACTGCTCACTGTATAATCCATTAGGGCTTAAAGGTACTAAGTTTAGGTCTCAGTATGAATAAAAACGACACTACAAGGCTGCCTACTCTCCCCATTCCTCTTCCTTCTAGTGATTGACTGGATTATGAAGAATTCGACATCTGACGGGAAATACGGAATACAATGGACTTCTCAGAATCAATTAGATGATTTGGACTTCGCAAATGACCTAGCTCTCCTCTCTCATACACACGAACAGATACAGATGAAGACAACAAATGTAGCAGCAGCATCTGCATCAATAGGCCTCAACATTCACAAAGGAAAAAGCAAGATTCTCAAACACAACACAGAGAACACCAACCCAATCACACTTGATGGCGAAATCCTGGAAGAGGTGAAAACATTCACATACCTGGGGAGCATCATTGATAAACAAGGAGGATCGGATGCAGATGTAAATGTGAGGATTGGTAAAGCAAGGACAGCATTTCTACATTTGAAGAACATATGGAACTCAAAACAACTGTCAACTAACTTCAAAGTGAGAATCTTCAATACGAACGCCAAGACAGTCCTACTGTATGGAGCTGAAGCGTGGAGAACTACTACATCCATCGTCAAGAAAGTACAAGTATTTATAAACAGTTGTTTACGCAAAATACTTAACATTCACTGGCCGGATACTATCAGCAACAGTGTTTTTTGGGAGAAAATAAACCAGCTTCCATCTGAAGAGGAAATTAAGAAAAGACGTTTGAAGCGAACCGGACATACATTAAGGAAATCACCAATGTGCATCACGAGGCAAGCCCTTACTTGGAATCCGGAATGGAAGCGGAAAAGAGGAAGGTCAAAGAACACACTACGCCGGGAAATAGAAGCAGATATAAAAAGATTAATATTAACTAGAAAGAACTGGAAAGGATTGCCCAGGACAGGGTTGGATGGAGAATGCTGGTGTGCAGCCTATGCTCCTCGACGAGGGGTGACAGGTGTAAGAAAGTAAGGGATGTATATGCACATCCAGATGATGAGTCTCAAATAGGATAAAATGTTCATCTAAGATACCTCTGCTATTCACTAACTAAATTCATAAATATGTTTCTTTATCTGATCGATTTACGGGTCTTTCATTATTGATATTAAAACATAAACAAAAAACTGGTTATTAGGTGTAAATTAAAGTCCTATCTAGTTCTTTAAGTGCCATTGTTTTCGTAGATAACTCAACCATTAAAATATTCTACTGCATTTCCAGCTTTATATTTTTACTGTTCAGAGTTCAACAATAGAAGATTTATGAAGATTGGGAAGTCAGTATCTGAGCGTTTTAAGTTGAAGAACAATCATTTTCTTATTTCTCTATAGGGTATAGTTTCAGCATTGTCTCATAACATAAGAAGGACTTGACATGCATGACATTGATCACCACCCCGTGATCAATCAATTGTGATTACATCCCAGTCCTACAGGAGGTCAGTCGCGGCCCGAATAGCTCAGTGGTAACGTCTCTGACTGTGAAGCTGAGTGACACGGGATGGAATTCGTCAAGGAGCACCAGTTCCCTCAAGATTACAGGTACACTTTGCTGACGAGTGCCAAGTAGCACGAAACCCGGATGCAGGGTTTCCAATCATCATCTTATCTCAACATAGTGTACGCAGTGTCGAGCCACCTGGACTAGTGGCCACATTGCAACTTGATCGATAGCGTTCGATCGGCACTAATAAGGACTTGACACGCATGACATTGATCACCACCCAGTGATCGATTAATTGTGACTCATAACACTCATGTTTATCAATGAGTTCCTCATATTTAGCTTTGTAGTTTGAAAAAGTAATGATCATCTTCTGTTACGTCATCAATTGCATTTTTCATACAATGATCTATTTTTCTTTAATCTATTCTCTCTACATTCTTCCCTCCCCTTTAATTTTTTAAAATGATAACGTTCATAATAGATATTGACCAATTGAACTTGATATTGCAAGTTTTAGGTTCACCATCAAAAGAAGATTTTGAAACAATTGTAAACCTTAAAGTAAGTTTTATTTATTTCAATTACGAATATTGTGGATAATCATGATCATTAGACGAACGATTTCGTTTCTACGAGATGTAGCTCTCTAACACGATACACTAATGACAACTTCCTGTTAACGTTGTGATCTAAAGGTATTCAAACAGGGGTAGTGTTACGTTGATCACTGTCATGTCGTAGCGACTTAATTTGTATTATTTGCTAGGTTTCCCAATCAGAATTTCAAACACGATTTTCTCTTCCCTCTTTCTGCTACTCCGTTTGTTGCCTAGCGACCCTTATCTTGCATTATGATAAGCTCTGACTGATACAATTAACCTTTAGACTTGCTCTTATTGATTCTCTGTTACTTACGCCTTCTTATATCTTCAGCCTTGAGTTTGTAGGGAAGAAAGTAAACCAGCCACAAAAACTACTACAACATTTCAATTAACCGGTCCAACAGCTGTCTGAAGCGCTCATATACATAAAATACTGAATAACATCACACCACAAGTGTTTGTGAGATGAGCGAAACTGTAAATTATTGACTGGCAATAATTTAGGAATACTAACATATATAGCGATTGTTGATGGGTCAAACGGAAGCTTAGAAAAAACGGAATAGAGTAACATAGTAATCTGGTCAACTAGTAATTATCTGATAAAGATATAAATGATAATAACCAGTAAAAGTGTCAAAATTTCCAACTTTTCCAATACTTATTTTCTTATCATAAGTAATATACTGAATCTCTATCACTGAATTCCAAAGTTAACCCATTGTCATGAACATTTCATCAGAATAGGATTTTGTGGAGATTCCAGTATTTTCAAAGTTGAAACCATGATTCAATTGGAGCTAAACCACCATGGAGAACCTGGAAGCACTGGACGGCCGCTTCGTCTTATCATGGGACTCCTCAGCAGTGCGCATTCATGATCCCGCCTCGCGAGATTCGAACCCAGGGCCTACCAGTCTCCAACCAGAGCAGTTAACTAATAGACCACTGAGTCGGCATCCAACGGTGTTAATGTCTAACTTCAACCAATCCACGAAGTTTGAGCAACCGTTCACCAATTGTCTTCAGTGAGTTGATATCTCACAACAGACGTGGTTGAACTCCACTGAGGAGTCCCACAATAGGACGAAACCGCCGTTCAGTGCTTACAGGTTTTCCATGGCGGTCTAGCTTCAATTGACTCATGGTTTCAACTTTGAAAATAAACATTTAAATCATATTCTTTTCAGCATTACAGCATTAAATAACAACAAGGTAATTTCTTGTTCTACATTTTATGTATTCATTATTTGTTAACTACTGATGAATCATTATAACGCGAAAAATCATTCAAGAGCAACTCACCTGTATAGTATTCAAAGATGTACTCACATTATTGCCTAACTTCAAGATCAATTTTTGAATTCATACTGAGAAACGATGGCTTGTGGACGAATAAGATCATATTTATTAGTCATTCTGATGTATGTAGTTAAATTACTCGGTCCAAAATCAATTTGATCTCTTCAAAAATTGAGGGTTAGCTTCATTTCTAATCGTTTATATATTCATAGATACACAATGCGGAATAGTTCTAAACTGAAATCGATCAGACTATGATTTATGGACGACCTTTGAGCAAGGGGAAAATGACCTTGGGAAAAGTCACCTACTTAGTAGGGTCAAAAGAAGTATATATATTAGTATGAGGAATTAGCAGTTTCTTGTGATATTAACAGTTACAGATTGTTTTGATATTGCTTTAAAAAAAAGAGATAACGTGGTAGGATATACATAAAATACACAGTCTATATATATTCATAAAGAAAGTTTTTTTCTTGACTACACTCAACAACCATCTAACACGCAGATAAAGATGTGAACTTACGTCACTCACTCCCGCGAAGCACAGGCCAACAATGATCGGTAGTGTCGCTGATCGGTCGGTTGGTTGGTCAGTAGGTATATGATCGATCCTAATGAAAATCAGTTAGTTGACGTGGATGTTGTGCATTTACTGAATGCTTGATTTTGCTCAGTAACAGTGTTTTGAAGACTCTTCGTACTACTGACAGTGATGGAATGCATCTATGGTTATCACTGTTACTAAGAATTCGTTTCTTCTGTATCTTGATGAGGTATTCCTCTTTTCAGTCTAATGGTAGTTGATTTTCCTCCAGAATCTTTGTGAAGGAATGTGTAGTATCTTTACCGTTAGCTGAATGTCTGATTTGAGTGCTTCATCTAGTATGTTGTCTAGTACTGCTTCTGTGGAACTGTAGATTTGTGTGATGGACATGTTGATTTGTTCGATTGTTGATGTGTTTGTATGTGATGGGAGGTGTGTATGTGTTGGTTGGAAGTTGTATGGTTTGATTTGAGTTGTTTTATTGGTGAGCTCATCGAAGTGTGTCTACTCAACTGCTCTGTCAGCGTTGAATGTCGGTGATCGATATGCGTTCTTTGTTCTCTAATGGTTGTTTCGGTCTATTATATTTGCGTGCTATCATCTTGGTTGTATCACATAATTGTTTGTTATTTCCTTATGTTTCAACGAATTTAACAGTAATTACTAGGTCTTCGGCCCATATTCTCTATTAGGTTTTAATGCTCCTCTTCATTAGTCTACTTGATTCTGTGTATTCAGTCAGTGTCTTGACATTATCTGTTGTCATTCATCAGATGTTGATTGACATCTTCTTGTTCTTCGTTTCTTGAATGTTGACTAGGATATGGATAGAAACTGATTGTTGTTGATGCTGGTACATGTTGCGGACCATCACCTCCTGTCATGTTGAGTTTATTACTTCTTTGATTTCTTTTCAGTCGTTCTACATATTGGCTTCCTCCTTTTCTAGTAAATGATCTGAGGCTTAAGACTAATTGCTGAGAGCTATCTTGAACTCGTTGAGTTTGTCAACATCTCGATGAACGTTTGTGTGTAAATGTTGTAAGACTGTTTGTTGAGTTATGTTGTGATTGTTGAGCTTCAGTTTCAATTTGACTGCCACCAGATGGTGATCGTAGAATGAATGACCTCCTCTCTGTGTCGTCTGCTTACATCTTCGATGGACCTCCTAAATTTCCAGTTGTTCCAGATGTTGTTGATTTTGTGTTTTGTGGTGTGATTTGGTGAATCGCATGTAGCTCAGTGTATGTGTTTGTGATGGAGAATGGTGCCATCTATAACCGCTTTGTTGAAAGTATATATATTCGCAAATCTGTCACCACAGGCAGTTATTTTTTCCTACAATGTGCCACTTGATTACGCACTCATATCCGTTGTTGTCGATCTCAATTATTATGTTGAATTGTTGCATGAGCATGATGAATTGTTTTGTTTGTGAGTTCTGATGGAGAAATTACAACCTCCGATTGAATTTATGTTTTTCGTCACGTTCACTGCCATCGTGAGTGGACACTCTATGTGATCTTTTCCTTCTTTAGTTCAAATGGTCCTAGATCTATTAGATTCTCATTTTACAAGAACATTACGCAATTATTTGATCGGATAAGCGCAAATACTTGTGTGTATCATTCATTTTTTACTACATGATAAGAATACGATTACACCTCTCCCGACGCTAGTCTTTTTTGTCTGACTTGCGTCTAATGAGTGACCTTTTTGTTTTCGCAGCTATTTGAATGGTCGTTTTGGTCTCCCACATTTTCCGGACATTCCATGTATCTACATAATTGTTGCTCTCGTTGTTAGAATTGATATTGATCTCATAATTTCCGAAGATCCTCGGCTTTGACCTCGACTTTTCCATAACTTTTCTAAATGAAGACCCTTCTACTCCAACAGTTGAGTTTAAATCAAAGTTAGACAATGATTAAAAACTCAGGAGTAACGGACAATTGTCCTGTCGCGATATGGGACTCATTAACACTGAACATGCACGTCTCCACTGTCAGGGATAAAAACCATGACCCTCGGTGGCATATGGATATCCTTAACCTCTAGACCACTGAATCAGGATCCGATGATACAAAGTTTAAATTCAATTAATCCCATATATTGGGCGTGTGGTGTGTGCTACTTATGTGGACAAATATAAGTAAAGTGTATCAACAATTGAAATTTGAAATGTCCGGCTGCAGAAGGTTGAGAATATCAAAGAAAAGGGAACGAGAACAATGAATGATTGATGCAGAAATGAAGGAACGGTGAAGTCTGAGACGATTGATTGACATTTTGCAAATTAAGTATTTACTATATGGTTCTCAGATTTTACTAAGTGATTCTGTAATTTGTATTCAAATACATTCTATTGTCCCCACTTGTGTTTTTGTTCACTACAAGCGGTCATCTTTTATTGTCTTCAATTGGTACCTTCTGCACACCCGACATTATTTAAATTTACTAATCATGGTTTCTCACTAGATGTCAGGGAATTTCCTCTCAAAACTAGTCACTAGTGAGCGAAGATTGCTAAGTGTTATCAAACTTACATTGCGTTTAACGCTTGAATAGTTTGATCTTTTCTAGATAAATCTAATTGACGAAATTCCTCTGATATTTTATTGTATTACAAAGTTACTAGTAATATAAACTTCATCTCATATCGAACTCAGTTTCACCAATCAGATATTATGTTTAGTATATATATAATGAATATATATTCTGGGATGAAATAGATTACATAAAACTACAACTACCTATGAATTCAGTTGATTTTATTCAATTACTACTATCGAAAAATTTTTTTGTAATCGTATTGAGAAAGAAATAATTACCATTTGCTTTATGTCATTTCAGGCTCGCGCCTATTTAGAATCATTGCCACATCGTACAAAAGTACCATGGATACAATTATATCCATATGCTAGTGAATCAGGTAAGAAATTTTGTATAGGTTTCAACTTTTAGTTGCTATCAATTTGTTTTGAGTATTTCATGATGATTAATGAAATTTTTTGAGGGGGGTGGGTGGTTATTGAAGACAAAGTTTTAATAGTTAAGTTGACATATAGTGACTTGTATTTCCAACGTTATTCAATATTGCGTGACTAATATTTTATTATTATTTCAATGACATAAATTACAAGGACTTGATCTGTCAGAAATATTTTTGTTCAGAATGGGATTGGTGATGATTGTAGCAATTTTAATAGTTTAATTCATGGGTCGATCATTTCCCTTTAACGAATGGCTTCAAGATGATTTCTTGGTGTTCTAGTGAGAAGCCGTGACCATTGGAGTCCGATCCGTGTCGGGTTAAGACAGGAATCTACCTCAGACAATGGATAAATGGTTGTGCAGCCATATATGGATCGATGTAAGTTAGGCATTACCACTGTTGGATACCGGCTTGATGGTCTAGAGGTTAATTGTTCGCACACGAGACCGAAGGTCCTGAATTTGAATTCCGTGTGCGGTTTTGTGGACACGCACTGTTGAGGAGTCCCGTACTAGGATAGAACGGCCGTCCAGTATTTCTAGGTTTTTAATGGTGGTCTAGTTTACATGGACTCATGGATTCAACTTTCAAAAAGAAACCTTTTTTAGCTGAAACTTAACTAGAATATATTAAAAAAAGAAGAGATTGTGATTTGATCAGTAAAAAAATTCTGTATCTTAAACTGAACTTTAAAGGGGACAAAGCAGGTGACATTGTAACACGTCGACTTAAAAGATCTGTCGAAAAGACATTTCATGCAGCCAAGTTACAGATAATTTTCTCAAGTGAACTAGTACTTACACAACAAATCAAGGATAGGTTACCGATTATTGGATTCTTCATGTGTGAAACTATCTTTGTCTTTTCAATAAAAATTCTATACGGAAACATGTAATTATCGTTTGAAATTCGCTGATTCTTTTAAAATACATTTAATTTAGATTACGATCTATATTTTCATCTTAAAATGTTATTTCATCCTTAGTTCTAACTGAAATCTTTTGATCATGTTACAATGTAACTACCAGTTTAAGTCATTAGACATCATTATACCTACCTCTATCCCATTGATAAACCAGTCGTAACTCAGATACGTAAAGGATATCGTTCCTAGCTGTACCAGATGTTTATATCCTACAGAGAAATGGGATTAATTCCCTCAAAAAATTGCATTGTTGCTATAGTCTTAGGTTGAGCATGGGTTTCTGTTGATTATTTCAAGATATCTAACACTGAAATAGATTCATTGAATAATATCTTTTATTAGGCGGAAATGTAGAATATACGTAAACGTTTTTTTCCACTGACAACATTCAATTAATTAATATGCCATATAGGTTATTATTGATTATTCCTTTTCAATAATCATTATTATAGCACTGGATTTACTGGACAAATTATTATGCTTTGTTCCATCAAGACGTATAACAGTTGAAGATGCTTTAGCCCATCCATATTTAGAACAGTATTATGATCCAACAGATGAAGTAAGTTCTTATATATTAATTATACATTAAATATTTGCAATGTTGTGTAGAGTAATTGTTTATAATGATTAGTTTTTATTAAATGGTTGGTGGTAATTGACAGGATACTCTTCTCTCACATTTCATACCAGCTGAAACTTATCTTTAGCAAAAGATATTTAGAGTCTAGAGCGAAATAACGGTTTCTACCGGGTTCGAATCAGAGTTACATAGTAACACTGAAGGTTAATCTATGTGTGTGACATTGATTTTTTAAACTATATATTTTCACTGATCAATTATTGTTTATTGAGTTCTAGAAACTATTTTTTTGTATTGTTATTGTCACAGCAACAAATATGGATTGAGCTTTGAGACAGTCATACACACACACATACACACATATATATAGGGAATGTTTCATTTAACTTCGATAATACATCACGTACATCACGTATAAATTCAATTAATTCATATATATTCAAGTATTCATGAATTATAAAGGAGGGAAACGGATTAGAGAACATGTTTTCCCTGAAATAACTTCCAATAAAATAGTAAGCGTCATCATTAGAATTAAAGCTTAATATTAAAAATTAACAGTGAATAGTTTGTAAGATATAATCCATTTGTACTTACCTACTTACTTACACCTGTTACCGCTCGTGGAGAAGCATAGGCCTCACATCAGCATTCTTCTTCCAACCCTGTCCTGGGCAATTCTTTCCAGTTAAAATTCATCCTTTTCATATTTGCTTCTATTTCCCGACATAATATGTTCTTTGGCCTTCCTCTTTTACGCTTCCCTTACGGATTCCAAGTTAGGGATTGCCTCGTGATGCAGTTTGATTACTTCCTCGATGTATGTCCTATCCACTTCCAACGTCTTTTCCTAATTTCCTCTTCAGCTGGAAGCTGGTTTGTCCTCTCCCACAGAACTCTGTTGGTGATAGTATCCGGCCAGTAAATGTTGAGTATTTTGAAATCCATTTGTGAGTAGTATATAATCATTAAAAAAAACTGTTAGAAAAGTTGAATGATATAGAATAAAGTCGATGTTCATGGAACAGTTCCATTAATTCTTTGATTTTATATAAATTTTGAACTGAAAATTATCCATATGTCATTAGAATCTGAGTATTCTAGCATTGAAACTTTTCATGACATTAAAGCGTTTATCATCCAAAATAAATGAATTTAGTTATAAGTTGCAAGTATTTCTAATTATTTTAACAAATTACAACCAGACAACTGACATAAATACTGATATCTACTACGATTTCATCATTGTCAACCTTAACAAAAACAAGTTAAACATCTTTTACAAATTCACTTAGTATTGTTCATTTGAATATTCTCATTGATGTTTAGAGGTGAAATTGATCTGAGATACAGGCACATCCAGCTGACGAGTCTCAAATAAGACGAAACGCGCGTCCTGGATTCCACTTCTAGCCACTATACATCTTTACTCATAATACTTGTGAATTAAGGCTATATTGAGGCAATACGCACAGTATGTGTATATTTCAATGAGAGACTGATCAATTGTAGTCCTAAACATCAATGGGAAGATTCAAACAAACAATACTAAGTGAATTTAAACTGCATCTCATTGCACAAGCAAGTGGCTATCAGGACTCAGTAGCTGAGTGGATAACGTGATGACGTTTGGAACGAACGGCACTAGATTCGAGTCCCAGAATGAATATCAACTCTGAGATGCAGGTACATCCAGCTGACGAGTCCCAAATAAGACGAAATGCGCATCCTGGATTCCACTGCTAGCCACTAGCCATCTTTGCTTATAATCTTTTACAAATGTTTGTTTTTTCTTCTAAAATCAAATTAGTAATTTACAAGAATACTTGATGAAAACAGGAAACGTTGTTATTCTATAAAATTTTTAATTCTAAAAAGAAATAAACAGTCTATCATTTGAAGTAGTTTTATTTTAATAGATGAATTCATGAGTTAATTGAAGCTAGACCACCATAGAAAACCTAAAAGCACTGAACAGCCGTTTCACCCTAGTATGAGACTCCTCAACATTGCCCAATCATGATCCTGCCTCTCGAGATTCGAACCCAGGACCTATCGGTCTCGCACGCGAACGCTTAACTTCTAGACCACTGAGCTGGACGGCATCCAACAGTGTAAATCCTCAGTGTTTCTAGATTTTCCATGGTTGTCTAGCTTCAATTAGCTCATGAATTCAATTATGAAATTACTATACTATCCACAAAATCCCTCACTGATTATACATCACGTGAAAACAAAACAATAAAGACAGTAGTAATAATTATTATTATAAGAGCAAGAAGAAGATAGCAATTATATTTAGACAACTGATTATTGAAATCAAGGCACCAAGCGATAATGTACATTATGAACTAATTATAAGACAGAATTATTCCCATATAGACAAATACAGATTTATCTAGTTAATTATACTATCTAACTAATATTTGATTTGTCCAATACACAAATACATACCTTCATGTACATATGTCCATATCTATATCTATATCCAGATGTAACTGGGATAACATGCATAGCAACTATCTAGAAATTGAACTAAACTAGAGTATTAATTGTGTTTTTTTTTGTTGTTTTACAAGATTATGCAAACCATGATAGAAACAAACACCTAACGACTGAACAATATACATAATCAGATTTTAAGGGGAAAATCAAGGAATTGAACATTTACATGTATAGACAAATACATGTGGTAAACTTGTTAGTACATTAGAATGGACCAATTAGAATTGAAAAAAAAGAAAAAACTGATTTCAAGTATTTGAATGAAATTCAAAAATTCATCATCATAAAATGACGGACGGTGTCCGAAATCTGATAGTGATACACGGTGTGCTACATGTTAACCTCTAACTGACTATTTCAGCAAGAACACACAAGTGAACGAGAAAATATATTGTGTTGTCAAACAAAATGCACAAATACTCATTTATATATATCTGCCACTGTAATCCTTAGGATATTGATCCATTTCTTAGACAATCAAATGGGCTCGCTAACGATTGATCCTCTCATTAGGCTCTTTCTGATTGACACCTGTTATCAGAAATCGTTTTTGTTAGCATGGGGGTTGTGGAGATTGGTGAATTTTGTTGAGATCACGAAGTGATCTAAGTTAGATAAATATCAAGAACCTTGAAGTACTGGGTAGCAGTTTCAACCTATTACAAGACTCTTCACCGTTGGATACTGGATCATTGGCCGGAAGGTTAAGTGTTTGCGCGTGAGACCGTAGATTTTGTGTTTGATTCTTGATTGAGTAGTCATGAACAAACACTTCTCAAGAGTCCCGTATTAGGATAAAATGACTCTTCATTACTTCCAGGTTTCCATTACTTTTTTTTTAACTTGAATCGCTTCGTGATCTCAATAAAATACTTTCAGCGATCAAGGAATAAATGTGACAATGTTAATTGTATCAAACGCTCACTTTTTATGAATAAATTTCACGTAACATTTGTATCAATCAATTTAAGTTTGAATGTGTATGTTTATAGTAAACTTACAAAGAAATGGCTTCATTAATGGTTCACTGAATTATAGGCGAATTGGTGAATTTGGAATAATACAATATACAACAGTTTTCATCCATGAGTTCATTATGGTGATATGACGACTATGATAATGAAAAAAATTCATCTCTAGAACTCTTAGGCAACTTTATTTTCATCTGTTTTATGAGCAATAATGAATTCTGGATAAAGCTATTCATGACCAGAAGAATGATTTAGAATGAAACATTAAGCATGAATCGATTTCCACTTAGATTAATGATATTATATAGTTATATTTCAAAAAAATTCAAAAACCGAAAACTGATAATAAGTCTTGGTAAATTACTAAACTGTAGTTTACTTACGCCTGTTACTCCCGATGGAGCATAATCCGCTGACCAGTATTCTCCAACCGACTCTGTCCTCGGCCTTCCTTTCTAGTTCTATCCAAATTTTGTTCATTCTTCTCATGTCTGTCTCCATTTCTCGGCGTTATGTGTTCTTTGGTCTACATCTTTTCCTTTGACCTTCAGGATTCCATGTGATGGCTTACCATGTGATGTAGTTGAGTGCTTTCCTCAATGTATGTCCTATCCATTTCCAGCACTTCTTCCTGATTTTATCTTCCACTGGAATCTGCTTTGTTGTCTCCCACAGTAAGTTGTTCTTGATAGTGTCTGGCCAACGGATCCAAAGTATTTTGCGTAGATAACTGTTAATAATCACTTGTATCTTCTGGATGATGGCTTTTGTAGTTCTCCGAGTTTCCGCCCCATACAGTAGAACTGTCTTGGCATTTGTATTGAAAATCCTGACATTGGTGTTGGTTGACAATTGTTTTGAGTTCCAGATGTTCTGCAGTTGTATGTATGCTGTTCTTGCTTGGCTGATCCGTGCCTTCACATCTGCATCAGATCCACCGTGTTCATCAATGATGCTGCCCAGATATGTAAAGGTTTTCACATCCTCCAAAACTTCTCGGACAAGTGTGATTCGATTGGTGCATTCTGTATTGTATCGGAGAATCTTGCTTTTCCCTTTGTGTATTGTACCGTAACAGATTTTATTAAATCTTTTACAAAATCTGTAAGGTTTTATACAAATCTATCTACTTATTAGCTAAAATATGGCTTCAAAATTATGCAATCATTTTAAGAATCACTTAAGCTCATCCCTTAAAGTATTCTTTAACTATTGACATTGATTTGTTCGACAAAAGCTTTAATTTTTCAATGACATTATTGAAAATTCACTTAAGTTAAAAGTGTGAAACTATCAGTTTGAAGGTAATAAGCTTAATTCGAATTCTAAACAGTTGGCAATGTAAACTCTTTATTGCTCTTGAATGTATATATTACTGAAGTATTCTAATAGGCGGGAAATATAAGTTTAGTCACGATTTCTTATCGATCGAATCCGACCACTTAACAATCAAAGACTAATGTGAGATTATGCATTTCAATCTTATCGATTAATTTTTAATGA